TCCTTCCTCCCTCTTCTCCCTGTTTTCCGTTCCTGCCCCTCCCTGTATAATTTCTTTCTTTCGGCGCGCCCAACGCATCGTTCCGCGGCCCCAGAGGGGGCCCCACCGGAGGCGCCAGTGGCAGGGTCCACAAGGCGACGCCGCTCCATTTGAGCGCACCCATCAAACGGCTTGCGGCCCCATAGGGATCTCCACCGCAGACCCCAGCGGCAAGGTCCGCCATCTTGACAGCAGGGGGGAACTCTCAGGGCCCCTCTTGGGGCTCTCTTGGGGCCCTCTTGGGGTTATCTTGGGGCCCTTTCGGTGTCTTCAGAGGCGCGTGGAGAGCCCCGGGACGGCTCCGAGAGGGCCCCGCGAGGGGCCCTGAGCGTCCCCGGCCCCCCTCAACCACCCTCATTATCCTTCCCCCTCCTTTTCCCCGTTTCATCCACGCCTTCCGACTCATCCTCCTCTTCGCCGCATTGCCCCTCCCCCCCCCTCATTCGCGCGCAGCCCCCATTCCACCCCTCCCCGCCAGCCCTCCTGCCAAAGGAACCTGGCTGTCGCTTTCGGCGACGCACCAGCGCCTTCGGCGAACCTCGCTGCCACGAAAGCGCTGCGTTGCGCGGCGCGACCTCGTGGATGCACCAGATCGCTTCGACAAACAGCCCAACCAAACTGACCGACAAAATGCCCACCCGGACCGTCGAACAAAATTGCCGCGGGGTCCCGGGGGGGGCATCCTAATTGTGAAATTACAATGAATCCGCCCCGCAGCGAAAGCCAGGAACGATTTTGTCGCGACACTTTCTTGGGTCGGTCAGATTTTTTTGTCGCGGCCGTCTTTTTTTTGTCGGCCCACCTTTTTTTTTGTCGGCCCATTTTGTCGGGCCGATTGTTGTGTCGTTTTTTTTGTCGGGGCGGTTCGGTTTTTTGTCGGCCAATTTTGTCGGGGCGATCGTTTTCTGTCGGCCGGGCGCCGCCCGCAGCGCATAGGCGCAGGGGGGCCGACGGGTCGAATGGCAGCAGGGGCGCGCGCGCGCAACGCAGAAGGACCGCAATAGGGAACGCGAGCCAGGGCAGGGCAAACAACAACGCGGGGCGGATGCGAGAGCGGCGGCAAGAGCAGATGATGACGAAATGAGAAAGACATTTGCTTGTAGAGTACGTGTCCCGACGGATCCACGCGCGGCGGGCGCCGAAGTGATCGCGGCACTTTTGGTCTCCAACCTGCAACCTCGATGCCAGCATCACAAACGTACGCATGATGCGTTGTGGGCACAATGGTAGCGAAGTCCGCCCCGCGCGCGACGCAGCAAGCAGGCGACGTAACTTAATTCTTTCGCGCCGAAGAGCGGGAGGCCACGCATGTCAAGAAGCTCAAAGAATCCCTCGCGGTCGCCCACGGGGCCTCGCAAAGGCCTATTAGGACCTGGACTGAGATAAGCATGGCGAAACACCCAACCATATGCAGCTGTGGGTACCAAGTGGGGCCACGATTGCGTTGGGGGTGCGCCAAGATGGGGCGGCGCCGCCATGTGGGCCACGTTGCTAGGGCCTCCGGTGGAGCTCCATGCGGGGCCGCGAACCGAGCGAAGGGTGCGCCCACATGGGGCGCAGCCGCTATGTAGACCTGCCACTGGGGCCGTCAGTGGAGCTCCATGTGGGACCACGAACCGCGCGATGGGGTGCGCCCACATGGGCGGCACCGCCATGGGGCCATGCCGCCGGGGCCTTCGGGGGAGCTCCATGTGGGACCACGAAACGCCTGAGGGGTGCGCCCACATGAGGCGGCGCCGCCACGTGGACCCCGGGCCAGCATGGATCCTGGCAGATCGGCGGGCCTGGCGAAAGCATGCAAGGTATCCAGGAATTTCGGGTCCTGTCCGAGCCCATCGACATCCTCCTGCGCGAGTGCATAACCTTCCTCGCAGTCATGGTCGGCCCACGCGGCGCCAAAATAATTGCCCTGCCTGGCCCACTCGCGCGCCAGAATATTAGCAGGGGCCATTCCACCATACCTGGTGCAGTGGAAGTTCTTCTGTTTCGGGAACCCGTACTGGTCGCAAAAGTTCACGGGGGAGCCTGGGTTTGCAAACACGGCAGCACAATGTATTGCGTTCTTGCCCGCCGCCGCGTTGCCGACGCCGCCCCGCTGTCTCGCGCGAAAGTACGTCTCGCGTGATCGCGTCTCTTTGGATGCACTGCGCGGTTCTCATTATGGATCTGCGTCCCCGAGAATTTCCAGAGGTGCGCCTGGCGACCTGCAGCTTTGCACAACCAGTTGCCACCGCGCCGCGAATTCAGGCGATGCCACCGCCCTCGAACATGCGCGCGCGCACCCGCGAGCCCACGCGTTTGTAGGCTAGCGCGCGCAAGCACGCGCGTCGCGTTTGCTTGTGTACTTTTGCGCTCACCATGCTGTTGTGCGCTGTAGTGTCGCATGGGGCTCGCGCGTGGTTGCGCAACCTTCAATGTGTCATTGAACGCAAGGGCGCCTTTGATGTGGCTGTCGCAATGCCACTTGCTCCAATGTGTTTGTTCGATTATCATTGCTACCGCTGTCATTGGCGCGGCGGTTCCTGATCGCAACGTCGCGATTGGTAGGCAATTCGGTCCGCGCACTTTCGCGCCGAACGCTGATATCGTGATCCCCATCGGGGCATCAGTTTGCAGCAAGGAGCATCGCGCGGGCGCTCGCGTTCTCGCGTTCGGGCAGCCGAGATTCGTCCAACGCTATACCGATCGTTTTGCGTTTAAATGTTTTTTGTTGAATTACGTTTTGTCGTCAAAAGCTTCGCCAGTAGAATAGCATTACTGAGTGAGTACGCATTGTATGCCTAAGGATTTCAGATCTACCAACATCTTGTTGTAGGTGCCTGTGCCATCCTCCAAGAGTGGCCAACCCACCTTGAGTTTTTTTTTCCTGACCCCTCTAGCGACGCACCCGCCAGAAGAAGTTTGAGGAGGTTTGTCCTAATCATTCCCCGGTTTGGAACTACTGCCAATTCAGATGTGCAAAGTGCCTGCGGGCTTGCTATGAGAAGAGCTTATTCCTCTGCAGTACTCTCCCACCCACCTTGTCCCGCCTCCTGCGTGAAGGGGAGGGGGGTGGGCCACTGTCTGCTTGTTGAACGAATCATGTCATCCCATCTACTTGTTGTGTATTGCAAGCACTGTCGGAAGGTCGCATCGCACAAGACTGGCGCCCTTGTCGAGCCTTGTTCCAAGCCCAAGAGGAGCAGTGAGGGGTCCAAGCTTCTCCGAGGGTTACTTCTTGGAACATCTTTGCGTCTGGCCCCTGCGTTCCCCCTTGCTCCGCTCATTGCCTCCTTGGCCCCTGGGTACCCGGGCCCCCATGGACCGCCTGTGGACCCCACGGTTGAGGCACCCAGTGAGCAGAGGGATTGGATCGATGAGGCTATTTTTTGTCCCTGCCGTCCCGCAGCAAGTGCCTACACGTTTTGACGTGGAGTCTGGCGACTCCGACTAGTCTCGATCAGGCTGGCCGTTCGCCTATTTTGAAGTTATCTTCCCCACTCGTGAGCAACCAGATCAGCAGCCCAGGTGTATTCGTCTTATGCGTCCTCAGCGAGGCCAAGGGGGGAAGGAGTGAGGGAGGGTCTCTGGTCTCTCTCCTTTTTTTTTGTTTGTTTTCTCTCTCTTTCTCTCTCTCTCTCTCTCTATCCCTGTCCCTCTCTTTGTTTCTGTGCGCCATGGATCATTTTTCCCTCCGCGGGAGAATCTCTCCCTGCAGGTCTGCTGTGCGCTAGCTGTGGCTGCATGACACGCCTCTTGAAGATTTTGATGTCTTGAAGGAGGAGGAGCAGGAGGAGAAGGAGGAGGAGGGTAGGAGGAAGAGGAAGAGGAGGAGGAGGGACGTGGAGGAAAGGATGAGGATGATCTTCGTCATTGGGCGTGAGTGGGCGATCGGGGGGACGCATCGACCCCCAGTCGCCCACTGATCGCCGACGATGGCGTGATTGCCAAACCCGCCCTGGACCGCTCGGGTTCGCCATCGGGGGCACGTCGCCGACCTGTCGGCGACGCGTCGCCGACTCAAGGGCGATGCCCCCCCCATGCGCCGATCCCGCCCCGACTACGTTTTTCGCGTCTTGCAGAAACAACGTCATCACGACGGCGAACAGAAGTGGCGAGAGGGTGTAGCTTTGGCAGATCCCGCACCGCGGAACGCCTGTCCTTTGAAATGGAGCCGATGGCGTTGAGCATGTGCGAGCCGAAACGCGCCAACGTTTGTCTAAGGAGTCAGAGAGCGCTTGGGCAGCGCCTGGGCAGCTCCCCGGCGGCCACCTGCGGCTCCGCAGAGGTCGGTGGGCGGGGCTGCGGCGGGCCTGCCCGAGAGGCCCTTTCGCGGCAGGCCTCCTGCGCGGGCCTCTCCCCCCGGTCGGGGCCGGGGCGAGGATAAAAATCTGTCCCAGGGCGTGTTGTGGATCGCCCTCACAGCGCTCCGCCACGCTCGGAGAAGGCCGCGGCGCCCGAGAAAGCCTTCAGAGCCGCCCGATCTCAATTGACATTCGTATGCATCTTTGATTTTGCCCTGGTCCGAAATCCAGCCCAATCCAGCTTATTCCCACCTATTCCCGCTTAGTCCCGCTACATCCCGCTTAATCCGCGGCCTACGCCGGCGTGGCAGCCCCCCAATGGGGTTTGATCCTCTTTAGTTCTTCCGATGCATCCTCCGGAGCCGCCGGGTCTCAGAAATTCTCGATCGATCCGCGCCCGAAGTTGTTCTCGTTTTTCTGTCTTGCAGTAGGAACCCATCCCAAGAACCCCCCTGCTTGCCTCCGGGGTGCTATGTTTTTGGGGGGGTTCGCTTGTTTTGCGATGGGAAGCTTGACTTTCCAACACCAAAAACCAATGGACGTCCTGGATTCTCAGGGTTGGGTTTCTTGTTGCAGGTTTCTTGTGGTCGGGCCCCTTCTGTATCCTCGGCCTCTCCTCGCGACGGGCGCGGCGGGAAGGAGGCCGGGGCCTTCGGGCACCGCGCTGCCCCTCCCCAGGAGCTCCCCGAGGATCGCGAGGCCCTGATGCCGATGCTGGCCGCCGGTGGCAGCTGGAAGGCCGCCGCCGCTCGGCTGCCCAGCGCGAAGGGGCGGCGCTTTGTTGGGGGGTTCTCCATGGGAGGCTCCTCGTCGCCTCGGCGCCTCCTGGGATGGCCCCTGGGCCATGGGTCGCCGGTGAAGGAGGAGGGGTCGTGGAGGCAACGGGGTCCTGCAGCCTCTTCGCCGCTTTCGGGCTCCTGTGGGTTTCCCTCACTTCCTCCTCTCCCTCCTCCTCCTCCTCCTCCGCCTCCTCCTCCTCCTCCTCTTCCTCCTTCCTTTTCCTCCTCCCCTCCCCTCCCCATCCCTCTGGGGGCCCCAAGACGGTGTGGTGACAACACCGTGTGGTGAGTCGGTGTGGATTCGGGGTCACCGCACGGTTTTGGGCTCGGGTCATTCTCCGAGGACATCTCGGGCGACTGGGGCAGCCGAGGTCCCAAAACCGTGCGTTGACGGACCGTGCGGTGAGGTCTTGGGGGATTTCGAGGTCACCGCACGGTCTGTCACCGCACCGTTTCGGGACTCCAAAAACGGTGGGGGGTCTTGGAGGCAACGGGGTCCTGCAGCCTTTTCGCCGCTTTCGGGATCCTGTGGGTCTCCCTGACCTCCTCCTCCTCCTCCTTCCTCTCCTCAACCTCCTCCTCCTCAACCTTCTCCTCCTCCTCCTCCTCCTCCTCCTCAACCTCCTCCTCCTGCTCAACCTCCTCTTCTCCCTCCTCCTGCTCAACCTCTCCCTACTCCTTCCTCCTCCCTTCTCTTCCTCCTCCTTCCTCCTCCCTTCTCATCCTCCTCCTCCTCCTCTCCTCCTGGGCCCTAGGGACCACCAGAAGACGACCTGGGCGTGGAGCTGATCCCAGGGGGAGGTCCCGGACTGGCGACGCGCAGTCTGTGTGCCCTTTGGAGTGGCCTTCGGTGCGCGGCTTTCGGAGGGCGCGGGGGGGCTCGAGCCCATGCACGCAGAGGCCGCTGCTGTCGCATCGCACGCAGCGATCGGCAGGCCGCACACCGAATGTCACTCCTCGCCCAGGGTTATGATGTTCCAACCTACTTTAGCCTTGATCACCAGAAAGAATTTCGGGCATCAAGAAAGTACTGGAATCGGAGGTTTTTCACGTGTCGGGCCCTGAGAGGCGATACTCTTTCGACATTGTTTCGACACTTTCCTGGGTGCTCGAAATTATTTCTCGGGTGTGGTCCTAAGCACGATGGAAACAACATAAGCGCAGGGTCGCTCCTGCGTTCCAGGCCTCCCAGATGGGGTCCGAGCAGACGGGGTTGGCAGATCGCGCCGCATCGCCAGTGTATGGTGGATGCAACTCGATAGGGGAGCCCGACTTTTTCTTTCTCCACGCCGACGTCGCCGTGGCCGAAGCATGGGCGATGCATTGGAGATGCGGGCGATCCGCCGACCTCTATCTACTCGGACCCCATCTGGGATGCCTCCAAACACACCCCTGCCCAGTCCTGCCTCGTTGATTGGATTCACCCTGTTTCGATGCCCTTCTTATGAGTGCCCTCGGTTTCTGAAAGCGCATCCCTGAGACTGCCATCGGCTGTGTTCTTGCCAATCTAGGGACAGTCGGAGGTTGATAGACCTCCTACCCTGACACGTCGATTATAGCGAATTGGCCGTTTTCGATTCGCGAGAGGGCGTCGCGGCCGTTAGTTTTGCGGGTCCAAGTCCGTCGGTTTCGGTCCTGGGTTGTAACTGTGAGACCCGCGCCCGCTTGGCCAGACCCCCAAGGCCTTCCGAGCGAGGGCGGGCCTTGAGGTACAGACCCTCACGGGAAGCCCTGGGGCCCATGGCCCGCCTTCTCCTGGGCAGAGTCTCTCATCTCGCCAACATTGCAGAGCGGATTTCGCTCGGAAAACGACAGGATGGGCCCGGAGTGTCCTGGAGAATTTCGTTATGGATTTCCAGGTTAATTTCGTGCGGTTGTTTCTGGTCAGGAATGAAGACAACAAAAAAACATCATCCCCGTGAAATTCACTTCGTGTTTTACTTGCCGTTTCGGGGTTTTGCATTGACAGGAATCCACACGAAAATCCGCTGCAGCACGTCTGCAAGGTCGGTGCAGTGACATCCCGATCCGATCGCTCCGATTCGATCTCCTTCCGATGTTGCCCGATACTTGCGCAGCGCCGCTGTGGATTCCCTGGCGAGGCCGTTCCGACCGGCGCGGTCCCGACCTCTGTGCCGATGCAGACCCGATCCATCGCACATTTGGACGGTTTCTCCGAAGGGCTTCGGCGACCCATTATTTTTCTCGTCGTCCTCCTCCTCCCCTTCCTCCTCCTCCTCCTCCTCCTCCTCCTCCTCCTCTCCTCCTCCTCTCCTCCTCCTCCTCCTCCTCCTCCTCCTCCTCCTCCTCCCTCTTCCTCCGCCTCCACCTCCTCCCTCCTCCCCCTCTCCTCCTCCTCCTCCTCCTCCTCCTCCTCCTCCTCCTCCTCCTCCTCCTCCTCCTCCTCCTCCTCCTCCCCCTCCTCGCCCTCCCCTCCTCGGGTCGCCTACGGCCCCCGGGGGAAACCGTCCACGCACATCTCGATTCGATACGGCTTCCAGATTTGATGCTGATTGATTCTGCTGGAGCCCAGGGTCCCTTTTCCACAAGGAGCCGGCATACTGCAATCACAAGACAGCTCGCCGCTTGGGCTCCACCGCCAGTCCAGACGGCAAGCATACATCGGGCGTGCCAACACTTCGTCCTCGTACTACTCGTATTCCTCCCCGTCCTCCTCCCCATCCTGATCGTCGTCGCGGTCCTCCTCATCTTCCGTCCTCGTCCTCGTCCTCCCCATCCTCCTCGTCTTCCTCCTGCTCCAGCTCCTCCGCGTCGTCCTCGTTTAGGACGTCGTCCTCATTTCTCCTCTTCCTCCTCCTGCTCATCCTCCCTTTCCTGGCACCTCGGTCCTCGACGCCCTCGCTGGCCTGCTTGCGGCTTTCTCTTTGGTCGGCGCCAGAGGCCATAGGTTGCGTCCTAGGTTGCGCCATGGGTTGCGCCATAGGTTGCGCCCTCGGCGGCCGAGAATAAGACCGTCTCTTGTCGATTGCGCCATAGTTTGCGCCTTCGGCGGCCAATGATAAAACCGTCTCCTATCGGTTGCGCCATAAGTTGCGCCCTCGGCGGCCGAGAATAAACCAATCCCCTGTCGGATGCGCCATATGAATAACACCATCTCCTCTCGGTTGCGTCATAGCTTGCGCCCTCGGCGGCTGAAACTAAAACCGTCTCTTATCGGTTGCGCCATAGGTTGCGCCCTCGACGGCCGAGAATAACACAGTCTCCTGTCGGTTGCGCCATAGTTTGCGCATTCGGCGGCCAATCATATAATCGGCTCCTATCGGTTGTGCCATAGGTTGCGCCCTCGGCCGAGAATAAAACCGTCCCCTGTCAGTTGCGCCATAGGTTGCACCCTCGGCGGCCGAGAATCGCAAGAAAGCTCGCCGCTTGGGCCCCACCGCCAGCCCAAACGGCGAGCATAAATCGGGCGTAGCCCCGCACGCATTCGAATGCCCACACTTCGTCCTCGTACTACTCGTATTCCTCCCCGTCCTCCTCCCCATCCTGATCAACGTCGCGGTCCTCCTCATCTTTCGTCCTCGTCCTCGTCCTCCTCATCCTCCTCGTCTTCCTCGTCTTCCTCCTGCTCCAGCTCCTCCTCGTCGTCCTCGTCTAGGACATCGTCATCATTTCTCCTCGTCCGCCTCCTGCTCATCCTCCTTCTCCTGGCACCTCGGTCCTCGACGCCCTCGCTGGCCTGCTTGCTGCTCTCTCTGGGGTCGGCGCCAGGGGCCATATGTTGCGTCTAGGTTGCGCCATGGGTTGCGCCATAGGTTGCGCCCTCGGCGGCCGAGAATAAGACCGTCTCCTATCGGTTGCGCCCTCGGCGGCCGAGAATAAAACCGTCCCCTGTCAGTTGTGCCATAGGTTGCGCCTTCGGCGGCCGATAATACAACCATCTCCTGTCGGTTGCGCCATAAGTTGCGCCTTCGGCGGCCAAGAGTCAATCCGTCTCCTATCGGTTGGGCCATGGGTTGCGCCCTCGGCGGCCGAGAATACCGTCTCCTATTGGTTGTGCCGTAAGTTGCGCCCTCGGCGGCCGAGAATACAACCGTCTCCTACCGGTTGTGCCATAGGTTGCACCCTTGGCGGCCGAGAATAAAACCGTCTCCTAATGGTTGTGCCTTAGGTTGCGCCCTCTGCGGCCGATAATAAAACCATCTCCTGTCGGATGTGCCATAGCCTGCGCCTTCTGCGGCCAAGCATCAAACCGTTGCGCCATAGGTTGCGCCCTCGGCGGCCGAAAAAAAAACATCTCCCATCGGTTGCGCCATCGGTTGCGCCCTCGGCGTCCGAGAATAAAACCGTTTCCTATAGTTTGCGCCATGGTTTGCGCTCTCGACGGCCGAGAAACGAAGAGTCTCCTATCTGTTGCACCATAGGCTGCGCCCTTGGCGGCCGAGGATCAAACCGTCGCGTAACGGGTGAGACCAGTCAGTTTAGTTCAGTTGAGTTGAGTTCAGTTCAGTTTACCTCGCGAAAACAAATTGGGCTACGCTCGATTTTTTTTCAGCAGCCTGAGTGCGCGCAGCGCGCACGTCCAGCTCCTGCGTCACAGGCCGCACGGCAGCCCTGTTGGTTGCCTCTGGAGTCGCCGCAAACGGTGGCACCTCGACAGGGCAGAGCGGCGGCAACGCAGCTGCGTCGCGGGCGGCAGCTCAGTAGAAGTGGAGCCCGCCGCGGCGCCGTCACACGAGTGGCCTCCCAGACGGTGCCACTCCCCTCATGATCTTCTTGGCCTTCCTCCTGCTCTCCGCCTGGGCGCTGGGCTTGAGCGCAGGGGCACAGGCCAGGCCGAGCCCCTTGTGCTTGCCCTTCACCTCCTTCGCGTACTGGAAACACTTCAGGCAGACCCGGTACCCGAAGTACGTGCGCAGGTCGTGGCCGCCACCGTCCACGTCGAGCGCGCCAGAGCCGCTGGGCGGCGGCGCAGCAGGCTGGGCCTTGGCTCCCTCGTAG